GTGGTTATATGAATATTAGAAAGACTAAAATTTAGAACAAGGACTATTACAAAGAAAAAGGGGGACCTTGTAAATGGACACATTAGCCAGTCCGTCAAGAAAACATAATCTTAATTGTGTCTCTCTCTACTAACTGAGCCTCAAAATATGTACAGCAAAAGCTGAAAGAATTAAAGTGAAAAATGGACAAACCCACAATGATAGCAAGAGATTTCAACACTCCTCTCTCAGTAGCTGATACCAACAAAATATATAAAAAATTAATAAGGCTGTAGAAGATTTGAAAAGATCAATTTGAACTAACTGACATGCTTTAGTACACGGCAACCAATGTTATTTTCAATTGTCTACTGAATATTTACCAAGATAGAACATACAGCCATAAAACCAGTCTCAACAAAATTTAAAAGATTGAAGTTGTATGAAATATATATATTTTAACTGTAATGTACCTATCCCAGAAACCAACAACAGAACAACATCTGGAAATCCCAATATTTGACTATTAAACAGCAAATAATCCAGTCAAAGAAGATACACATGATAAATTAGAAAATAATTTGAATACTCGAAAAGGAAAATATGTTAAAACTTGTAGGATGAAGGTACAGAAATGCTTCAGGCAACTTACATCATTAACTACTTATATTAGAAAAGAAGGGGGGCTCCCTGGTGGTCCAGTGGCTAAGACGCCGCAATCCCCTTGCAAGGAGCCTAGGCTCAATTCCTGGTTAAGGAACTAGATCCTATATGTCACAACTAAGAGTTAGCATACAGGAACTAAAGACTTTACATGCTGCAATGAAGACTGAAGATCCCTCATGCCACAACTAAGACCTGGGCAGCTAAATAAATAAAAACATAAATACTGAAAAGAGGAAACTTCTCAAATCAACTCAAGCTTCCAACTTAGAACACTATAAAAAGAAGAGCAAATTAAAGCCATAGCAAGCAGAAGGAAATAACACAGAAACAGAGAAACAAAAGAAAAGAATCAATAGAAGCATTAAATTGATAACCACTTATACAGACTGAAGAAGAAAAAAGAGGATATTAAGGATAAGGCAGATAGCATAGAAATTAAAGGGACAATTAGAGAAAGTTATTAACAACTTCACAGATATTACAAGGTAGATGAAATGAAACAATTTCTTTAAAGGCACAAGCTGCCAAAATTCTCCCAAGAAGAAACAGATAACCTGAATAATCCTACCTCTGTTAGAGGAATTAAGTTCATAGTGAATTGAATTTCTTTGGATTCTACAAAGAAAAGTACAGACTTAGATGTCTTCATGAACTTATATTACCAAACATTTAAGAAAGAAATGGGGCTTCCCAGGTGGTACTAGTGGTAAAGAATCTGTCTGTCAATGCAGGAGACGCAAGAGACGTGGGTTCAATCCTTGGATTGAGAAGATCCCCTGGAGTAGGAAATGGCATCCCACTCCAGTATTCTTGCCTGGGAAATTCCATGGGCAGAAAAGCCTGGCAAAAAGAGTTGGACATGATTGAGTACAGCAAGAAAGAAATAATATCCATTCTACACAATCTCTTCCAGAAAATACAAGTGGAGGGAACAACTGCCAACTTATTTTATGAGGCCAATATCATCTTCATGTCCAAACCAAGGAAAGATGTTACAAAGAAAAACAGCCACATTAGACATAAAAAACTCTTAACAAAATATTAGCAAACTAAATCCAGCAATATATAAAAAGAAAGAGTAATCATGTTTAAGCAGACTTCACCTGAGAGATGCAAAATTGGTTCGACATATATAATCAGTGAATGTAATTTGCTGTACCAACAGACTGAAAAAGAGAAAACAATATGATAACTCAACAGATGAAGAAAGAGAATTTGGCAAAATCCAACACCTATTCATTACAAAAACTTTAAGAAAACTAAAAGTAGAAGGGAATTTCTTCAACCTGATAAAGATAACCAATGAAAAGCCTACATTAAATATCATACTTGATGGCAAGAATCTGACTATTTCTCTCCTGCATTTGGGAAAAAGGTAAGGGTTTCTGCTCACAACATTTTTTTTTTCTTTTCAGAATTGTATGGTGGTCCTACCCAGTGCAATAAGACAAGAAAACAGAATAAAAGGCACATAATAAGAAAGAATGGACGCAAACATTTTATTCATAGACAACATGATTGTCTACGTAGACATGCAAAATAGAGAATAAAATTTACCCTTAGAGACAGTTAGCACATTCACAACGCTGAGCAGCCATTCAGTTCAGTCGCTCAGTCATGTCCAACTCTTTGCTACCCCATGAATACCACTACCTAATTCCAGAATATTGTTATCAACCCAAACGGTAAACCTATACAAATTAAAGTCACTTCCTATTCCCCCCCGTTTTAAATGTTCCTGGGGTTTGTTTTAATTAGGTGAGCTAAGGCACATAGAAACAGATGTGACTGTCAGGAAGCAGGAACTTTTTATACTTACAGATCCAAGGAAAGAGATAGCAGGGCTGCTGGAGAAAATGCCAGGGTGGTCAGGAGGTAGATGAGAGGGGGAACGTGTGGGTGGGAGACTGTATCATGGTCTGTGTGTGGCTGGCAAGGCACGGTGGGCTAGCAAGTTGAGCAGACTTCAGGTTGGAGTGTTAAACACTTTGAACAGCTGGGTCTGTGAAGATGGACCCAAGTTGTTGGTTAACTGGTCCTGGGGTACTTTAGGGAAGGAACTGTGGTCCAGACAGAGGAGCTGGGTTGGTTTACATATCAAAGGGGATGTCCTAAGGCAAGCTGTTTGCTATCTCCAGGAATCAGCTGACTCTGGGAGGGGCAGTCCCTCTCCCGGCCCAGGAGGCCCCAAGAAGTCAAAGCATTATAAAATAGAGAAAATGGAAAACATGATTAATATATCCCCTCCTCCTAACCCCTGGCAACTACTAATCTAATTTCTGTCTCTATGGATTTGCCTCTTCTGGACATTTCATATAAATGGAACCATACAATATGTGATTTTTTTTCCCCCTGGCTTATTTCATTTTATATAATGTTGTTAAGGTCCATCCATTTTGTGGCATACATCAGTTATCATTCCTTATTTTTAAAAATTTTGTTACATGATGTTGAAAGGTTACTTTCCATTTACAGTTATTACCAAATATTGGCTGTATTTCCCAAGCTGTGCAGTACATCCTTGAGCCCATCTTACACCCAATAGTTTGTACCTCCCACCCTCCCACCCCTAAATCTCCCCTCACCAGCCCCACGGGTAACTACTAGTTCGTTCTCTAGATCTGTGAGTCTGCTTCTATTTTGTTATAGTCACTAGTATGTTATATTTTTTAGAGTCTACATATAAGTGATATCCAACAGGTACTTCATTCTTTTTAAAGACTGAATAATATTCCATTGTATGGCTACACCGCGTTTTATAAATCTGTCCATCCATCAGTGGACATTTGTGCTGTTTCCATGTTTTAGCAATTTTGAATAACTGTTATAAACATTTGTGTACAGGCTTTGCTGAACACCTATTTTCAATTATTTGGGATATTTAGTACCCAAGGGTGGCATTGCTGGGTCATGTGATCATTCTATATTTAACCTATTGAGGAATCACCAAACTGTCATTCTGGGTTGCTGAGCCATTTTACACCCTGATCAGCAAGGTGTGAGACTTCCAGTGTCTCCACATCCTTGTCTATTCTTGGTATTTTCTGGGTTTTTGTTGTTGTTTATAGCCATCCACAGCTGAAATTTCATACATTGTTGGTGGGAATGCAAAATGATCCTGCCACTTTGGAAAACAGTTGAGCAGTTTCTTCTTAAGTATCTACTTATATAGGAGTCAAGAATCCCACTCCTAGGTATTTACCTGAGAGAGAAGAAAAAGGACTTAAATGCAGCTTTATTCACATTACCAAAAGCCAGATACAACCCCCACGTCCATCAGCTGATAGATGGATGAACAGACTATAGTGTCTCCATGACAGAATACTCAGCATGCATGCATTGTGGATGGATCTAAAAGGCAGTGTTCTAAGTGTAAAAAGCCAGACACAAAGGGTTATGTCCTGTACAACTTCGTTTTTATGACTTTCTGGAAAAAGCAAAACAGGCACATAAATTAGATCTGTGGGTGCTGGTGGCTGGGGAGGAAGAGGTGATTGACTGCAAGGGGCATAAGGGAATTTCCAGAGTGATGGAAATGTTTGTACTGAAGAGGTGGTTCCACATTCGTCAAAAGGCATCACATTTTAAATTCAAAATGGGTGCAGTTTATTGAGGTAGGTGATTGGTGGGCTACATGGTCTGCAACCATGAGGTTGCAGAGTTGGACACAATTGAGCGACTAAGCACACACACTTATGCCTTCAAAAAAGGAGAAAGAGAACCAGTTCTTCATTTCATAACTTAGAACCACTTTCCTGCCTGAGTATATGCAATATAGTTGCTTGTTGGCTGGGGGTCTCAGTGTCTCAAAACACACAGCGGAGGAGTCAGGGGAGGATGTGGGGAGGGCAGCTGGACCATCCTCCAACCGCCCCAGCCACAAGAGCTGGCAGGCTGGCTTCTGTTCCTGCTTTGTTTTCTTTCTTAATCGGCGTACCCAGCATCTTTATCACCTTCTCGCCTCCTCCTTCACCTTGCTCTTCATCAGTCTGATCAGTAAGAAAACATCTAGTTATTTGAGGCTCTCCCGCATTGCTGTTATTTGAATATTAGTATATCCAAAAACTTTTCCTGTGGGATTTAAAAAACACAATATTCCAGAGTTTTTACACAAAGACTGTAAAAATGGAAAAGGAGTGCAAACATTTTCCTCTTCAACTGCAGACCTCTGTTCAGCCAAAAATATAATCGATTATGATCCCAGCTGTTCAGCCATGAGCCAGCAAGCCACAGATTTCAGAACGGATCCAGAGTATAGAAGTCACACCCAAAAGTTGTACCATGTATGGGCAAAATACTTCCTGTGTGGCCCAGGGAAATAAAGGTGACACCTCCCTCCTTTATTATCACTGTTCATGAATTGTTCCTCAGTGGGGGAAGGGGGGAGCATCCATCAGAAAAACAAAACAAAACTCACTTTCCTCTATATCCAGAGTTCAGATAGCATCTCCTCAGAGTCAGGTGTGAGGGCCTCTTTGAAGAGGAGGAAGGGAAAGTCAGCAGAGCCAGGAGAGGGAAGGCAAATTAGAGGGAGAAACCTGGAGTGGGTCTCAGGACCCTACCAGCTTCTGACCCGAATTCCACCCAAAAGGAAGGGAAAGGGAGGTATTCTTGGCTGTTATTTACCCATCTTCCCTAAAGTACAAGATAAAGAAATGAAGCAGGAACAGAGAGTCAAGCAAAATAATTAAAAATGCCTAAAAAATGTGTAGCCTGGGGAAGTTCATCTTGCCCTTTATCCCTACGTAAACACACACACACAAACACACATTTTCTTCTTTAAACAAGGGCAGCCAATCGCTCTGTCTCCCGGTCACTTGGGAGAGCCCTGCAGCCCACTTCCTCGCCGCTCTGGTGACCTCTATAAAAGAGAAATTTGCCATACACCCTGAAGTGTTTCCCCTAGAAAACTTCTTTGATGAGTTTTTATATTTAAGATATAATCAGAGTTTTAACGCACACATTTAATTCCACATGTGTTCTCTAAAACATTCTAGGTCGAATTTGTTATGTTTATTTAGGTAAGTGTTCAGGACCTTATCGAATTTTCAACTTGCGCATTTCAAGTTTTCCGAAGAACATTTTGAAACACGTATGCAGTTTTAATTTAAGATCTGCTAAAACTCAAAAGTGTCATGTGGAAGGGAGACCGTAATTTCTAATTATAAAGTATTCGGGACGATAAATTCACATGACCTTTTCAGGAAAGTTTATGTCCAGGCCACAGGAGGGCAAGGACTTTATGAGGGGTCAGGGCATGTGTGGTCACCAAGGCTCCCCTGCACATTACTTAGATTAAAGAAAATCAGAGTCCCTAGGTTCTGCAAGTATCCACCCTGCCCCCTGCCTTTCTAAAACTCCACAATGCATCCAAGTGTGACAAGAAGCTTAAATTCCCAAACTTGGATTTCAGTCTCTGAAAAGAGAGCCTGGACACTGTCATGTTCAGGGAACCTCAGGAATCTTTCACCCCAACCTGTTGTTTCACAGAGGGGCAACTGAGTCCCACCCAACCTGTTGTTTCACAGAGGGGCAACTGAGTCCCTCTGAGAGGAAGACCCTGAGCTAAGTCCCTAATCCAAGGACTAATCTTGGCCCTAATCCTGTCAATGACAGGACATCGAATCCTGACACTTCCTCACAATCAAATCCTGAAGCCTCTCTCTTAAATCCCTCCTCACCCTCCCCACCTCATGGCTTGCCTTTTCCTGGTTCCCTGGTCCCTCGGTTCCTGGTCCCTCGGTTCCCTTGTCTCTTGGATCCCAGTCCCTTGGTTCTCCAGTCCCTTCGTTCCCTGGTTCCTTGGTTCCTAGGTCAGCTGATTGGGCTATTTCAACAGTTTCCCAGTTGGCTATCACCTCCCATGTGGCTGTCAACTTCTCTCAAAATAAAAGTTGGTCATCACATCTTTCCTTAGAACACTGTTTTGGTTTCCATTGCCTTCAGAAGGAAATCCAACCTTGGTAACTGGTCTTCTGAGACTCTGGAGAGCCTGGCCCCAACCTTCATCCACAGTGCCACTGCACCCCGCATTGTACACGCCTTGCTCATGGGTCCAGTGTCTCTTCCGGGGGAACCTACCCACTCTCAGGGCCCCCAGCCACATGGTGGAGTCCAGCCAGATGGGGTTCCATGCTCACCTTTTATGCTGAAGCAAGAGGAGAAAACTGTGTCAAATCAGCGATGCCACCCCAGGGGCATATGACTCTGGAGTGTGATGCCTGTCACCCTGAGGCAGAAGGGGGAGGCCCCCTTGCACCAAGACAGAGTGAGGCCCACACACAGAGGGAAGCACAGCTGAGGGTGGAGAGGGAACAGAGAGATACAACATCACTGAAACCCCTGGATCCAGCTAAACCTGCAGCCCACTGGAGCCTGAGCTCCCCGAGTAGTGAGCAAATTCTTTTTCTGTTAAGCAGGTACAGGCTGTATGTGTATTACTTGCAACCAAGAGAGCACCGGCCACTGATCTTCTGAGCTCCCAACTGCAGGAGCCCGCCCACAGTGGGGACACCCATGCCTCCTTCACCCCGTGAGTCTTGCACATCCTCACGTCTCCTGGTGGACTCACTCACCCTTGGCTGATGTCTTTCCCAGCCTCCCTGGCCTGCTGTGCTCGCCCTTCTCAGCCAGGGTTCACCACTCCACCACACCCCTCGATATGCTGCATCGTGAAGTCTCTGTTATGTGGTTCCTACTCCCCTTCTTAGCTCTGATACTAAGCACAGAGTCAGTGATGGTTAAAAGGCCTGAACCAATACTCTTCTGTCTCCTGTCCATTTCTCTCTGCAGTGTGCAACAAAGTGCATGTTTTTATTAGAGCGTGACCACAAGTCATGTTATCTCTGCACCCATCAGAGTCAACAGGATCTGCTGGGCTCCACTGGAAAGTGCAAAGTCTGAAGAGCAGGGTTCGATGGTGAGGGGGAAGGAGAGGGCAGAAGATGTAAGTAACAGATTTTAAGATTAAAAACCAACAAGACAGGACAGTGAGAACTCAAAGGAACTATTTAAAAAGGGTGGGGATGGGGAGAGAAAACAGCCTTCCTGAGTCATGAATTAAAGTGAAGCTCATTAAAGTTTGGTGCTTTCAAACTGTGGTGTTGGAGAAGGCTCCTGAGAGTCCCTTGAACTGCAAGGAGATCAAACCAGTCACTCCTAAAGGAAATCAGTCCTGAATATTCTTTGGAAGGACTGGTGCTGAAGCTGAAGCGCCAATCCTCTGGCCACCTGATTCGAAGAGCCAGCTCATTAGAAAAGACCCTGATGCTGGGAAAGATTGAGGGCAAGAAGAGAAGGGGATGACAGAGGATGAGATGGCTGGGTAGCATCAACAACTCAGTGGACATGAGTCTGAGCAAACTCAGGGAGGGAAGCACAGCATGCTGCAGTTCATGGGGTTGCAAAGAGTTGGACATAACTTAGTGACTGAACAACAACTCCTAGAACCACATTGGATGATAGCTTCTCCCAGTCCACCATGGTTGGGAAGCTCTTGTGCAGTGACAAGATTCCAGCAAGACCAGGAGTCACAGAAAGCTCCTTGCTCTCTGGTGAAAATGATGCACCACGTTTACCTTGTCCAAGTCTTGCTCCAGCCCTTAGTTAAGCTATTTCTTCAAGGAGAGACCATAAACTGGATGTCAGTGGTGCTCACTGCCCCTGGGTCACTTGATGCTTCTGTGTCTTTTCAATGGTCAGGGTCAGCAGATGCATGATGTAAGAGGAAGTACAAAGTGAGCTCATATTGATATTTCCAGCAAATTTAGTAAGACATGCTCTTCTTTCATTGTATATTTATATCTCTTCTTTTAGGCTGGAAATCTTGACTCCCAAAGATGTAAACATAATAACTTGCTTTAGCTCACAGTTTCAGAATGACAACAGCGATACTGTTACTAGGAATATGAATACCGAAAACAGATTCAGACTTGATTTGCTTCTTTCCTCTCTCCTTTGCAGTGTACCCCTCCAGGACTGCATGCAGTAAAATCGCAACGTTTAAAGTGATCTTTAATTATTCCTGCCTGCTTGGGTAAGCCACCAAGATGATACAAAATTAGGTACATCTGTCTGATTTTGCATTTGACTTTTTAGGGATTTTTATTTTTTCCTCATTTTGGTTCAGTTTTTAAATAATTATGTGGAACATTTATATGCTTCCAAAGTAGAATCTACAGAACAAGGTTTATGCAGAGGAGACTGGCTTCTGTCCCAGAGTCCTACACTCTCTTCTCTCTTTCCATAATTTTCAGGCCACTGTTGATCTTTCCAGTGTTGTTTTTCAATTGAAATTTGGTATATATATTCCATGTGAAAAAAAAAATCATAGTGTGAGTTAGTTGTTGATTTGATCTTAAAGGCATTCCTAAATGTGTGGCAAAGGCCCACATTATCTCACATTACGAGTGAGTGTTGTCAAGAAAGCTAGGCCCCCTGGGGAGAGCCCTGGTGTTTGTCTTCCACACCCCAGTCCAGAGTGGGGGTGTCTTGGGGTTCTTTGGCAGAGAACAGGGCCCACACTGTGGCTGGTTTATGTGGGAAACAACTTATTAGGGACTATGACATAATTGCAGTGGAACTGAGGACAGATTCTAGGTAGAGTGTTTTGGACGGACTTGCAAACTGCAGTGCAGGCGTGGAGCCCTTGCCTCTCGGTACCAGGAAAACTGGTTCCAGAACTGGGCTGGAATCAGGGAGCAACTGCCACTGCCATCTCTGCCAGCCCCCTGGGCTGCTGGGTTCCGCTCCAGAAAAGTGGCGCCTTCCCTCCCCTCTAGATGTGACCAGACACTGCATTACCAAGAGCAATCAAACACCTCCACCCTGGACAGGGGCAAGCAGAGCGCAGCCGTCTTCCCTCCCACACCCGGTAAGATGACATCTTGCAGAACAGGGCTGCCCAAGGTCGCGAGAGGTCATTTGCAGCCTTTCATCCCCTGCGATTCAGGAAGGTAGTAGAACAAGGATGCAACGGAGAGTGAGCACCCACCCACCACACCCACCACGCACAGGGAACCATGCTTTTAAGCCTTGTTGTGCTAAGACTGGGAAAATCCCCTGGAGGAGGAAATGGCACCCCACTCCATGATTCTTGCCTGGAGAATCCCATGGACAGAGGAGCCTGGTGGGCTGCAATCCATAGGGTCACAAAGAGTCAGACATGACTAAAGCAACTTAGCATGCATGTGTACAAGGCAAGGGTACAAGTGTTATAATGAGGGCTTGTCCTGTGCCCTCCTGAGCGACTTTTCAAGGGGAAATTTTTAAACCGGATTTTCCTACAGGAGAATCTTACCTGTAGGCAACAGTGTTACTTGGACATCAGTTGTCAGTCCCTCACAAGCCCACTCCACCTCCTGCTGCAGCTTAGGTAGATGACTGGGTCACAGACCCCAACTTCCAGACATTATTCTCAGGCCCAAGCGCAGTGAGACAGACAGCCGGGTGGAGCAGGCTACCAGGCAGACTCCTCTGCTCCTGACTGCTCCTTAGACCGCCAGGTTCAAGGGCAGGGGGAGGGTGGAGGGATGTCTCTGGACTTATTTAAGCTGGGAGGAAGCGGTGCTCTGGAGCTGGCTCCCCACACTGAAGTGACGCAGGGAGATTAAGAGCAGCAAGTCCTTAATGTTTCAGAAGGCGAACGTCCCCTCTTAGAGGAGCTAAGCCTCGGGGAGGCTGCGGCCCTGCGAGGCCAGATCGCTCCCCGGGCCTTTCTTGCCCTCTCTTTTGTTCCTTAAGTTTTTTATTTAGACTTTTTTAAAGAGACAGGGAAATTGCTGCTCTGGATAATGTGAGGGCCAAAGCAGAGCTGGAGAAGGGGGCGGGCGGTCAGGCGAGGCGGACGGGGCGCGGCGACTCCCAGGACGCTGCAGTCCTAGGACCCTGCGGCCCGCGGGCCCGCCCAGGAGAAGCTGCAAGCTCACAGCGCGGGGACGCGGCCGCGTTGTGCAGGGCCTCACCCCGCTCCTCTGCCCCGCAATCGCCGGCTGTGGGGGCCGCCCTGAGCCGCCCGGCCGCAAGCGCAGCCCTCGCCCTCGGGTTTCCTAACGCTGGGGTCGCGGCCCGCCTAGGAGCAGCCGAGGCCGAGCTCCCCCGGCCCCGAGTTCAACCGCAATAAAAGGGCCCAGCGCGCCCTTGATCACGCGGCTCGCCTGACAGTCCGCTCAGGCCCGGGCCTAATTGAGCCCGGCTCACCTGGGAATAGGTTCAAAGGCATCCAGGCCGTAAACCACCTCCAGGCCCCGAGCCAGAGCCGCCTGGCGAACAAAGAGCCCCCGAACCACTTCAAACGCGCCCGCGCTCGGCGTCCAGATGGCGCGGGGCCGGCGGCCCCCGCCCGGGTCGCCAGCCGAAGCCGGGCCGGGCCCCGCGCCGCGGCCGCTCGGGCTGCCCGCAGGCGCCCAGTGTAGGGGAGGCAGGGCGCCTCCCCAGACCGCCCTCCGTCCCCTGCCGATTCGCAGAGGGGGAGCCCCGGGGCGGGGGCGCTGCCCCGCGGCCTAGCCGGCGCCTTCGCCGGGCTGTCTACCCCGGGGTGGGCCAGGCAGGTGGGCTCGGTGGGCACAGGGCGCTCCCGCGGAGGCGCGCGCTGGTGCTGAGGTTTCAACGTACTTAGAAGGACCGCCTGCGAAGGGCGTCGGGGACCGGGGCTCCTCCGCAAGTTGGGGTGAGACACTCCCCCATATAACAGCTGGGCAAAGCGGGCCGCGCGTCTCCACCGATCCCCGGGGCGCGGCCGTAGGTAGCCGCGTCTTCGAGGCACCCGAGTGTCAGCCCGCCGGCGGACGGGGCCACTGGTCCCGCACGTCCCCTTCCCCTGGCCGAACGTGCGGGCCACCTCGCCAACTCGCTGTGCGCCCGGGGACAGGCAAGGCTCACACTGGCCCGGGCGTCCCCGGGGGTTCCCCGCCGCGTCCTCACCTCCTGAGAGCGCATCTAGGGTAGGACTTGCCTCCCGCACCCCTCGCGCCGCGGGAGAGACCCCGCAGCCCGGCGGGGCCCGATCTCCCGTTAAGGAGCAAAGTGGGATCGGCTGAGCACGCGACGCGGCCGGAGAGCGGTCAGAGCCCAGGGTGGAGGCGCGGGCGGCGCGCGCGAAGACCCGGCAGTCCCCGGTGCCCGCCGCGGCCCGGGCCGAAGGGGGAGGCAAAACTGAAAGTGCCGCGCCGGGGGGCGGGGGCGGCCGGCGGAGGCCCCAGAACTCGTCCTGCCCCCGGTCGCGGCGACCAATCAGCGCGCCGCCCTCGCTACTGACAACTATTTAGCAACCCAGCCCGGCTAGGGTTTCCAAAAAAGTTAGAATAACTTCCTCTCCCGGAGACCTCGGTTTTGCACAAGCCGGCCTTGAAATCAGAGCCTTTCGAGCAACTCGGGGAGCGTGTGCTCGGCGACCGCGGGCTTGGCCAGAGGCGCGCGCTCTGCGCCCGGCGCCCCCAGCCCCTCGCGCGCCGGGCGGGCGCCATGGAGGAGGGCTCCAG